GGTACGGGGCGGGTATGTATATACTCATACCCGTACCCGTACCCGGTTTAAGTTATCGGGTTTTACCGTACCCGTACCCGTACCCGGTCAAACCGGGTATTCCCCGTCAAAGTCGGGACGGGTTCGGGTATTACCAACGGGTACGGGTTTATTTGCCATCCCTAGATGTGTGTCACTATATGATAATTTTCTTATAGTGATAATAAGAATAAATTGATACATTCGATTGTGATTTTATATCTAAATTAGAAGATTAAATATCAATTTTTATTTAAAGAATATAAATTTCAAATTAACCATCTTTAATAATTCAGTAAATTGAATATTGAGTATGAATTATAAAATTTTTAATATTAAATTTCATTTTTATGGATTAAAAACTACTCTTTTTTTTTCACTAGAATGCAATGTTAATGTCATTCAATCTTTCACATAAAATATTTTAATTCCTCCTTTAATTATTTATATTTTAAAATTATAAATTAATAAATGAAAAAAAAAACTAAAATTTCAAAGTCTAAAATGCCAAAAATAAATAAAATAAAATAAAATACATACATGAGATAAATGAAAAAAATCATAAATATATTTAAATGATATTAAACTAAAATTATATTTAAAAACTAAAACTTAAAACTAATCTCACAACTTTGGCTAGAATTTTTATATGATAGATAAAGGGATAGATTATACAATTTAAAATATTATAATTTATACGCACATATCAATGCTAGTTTATATATTAATTATATTAAAAACAAGTAAAATAGATATGGTTTTTTTTATTACACCAAGTTAGATACATAAGTTAAACCAAGGCCGTTTGAGGTGATTTTTATTTGGAAGTTTTAAAATTTACAAATAATTTTTAGATTTTAAAAGTTAGGTTCATTTTTTTTATCTTTAACACGTGTAATATTCCAAAACTTTGATATAATATTTTCTTATCATTATTTTTTTCTTAGAATAATATTTTTTTAAAAAAATTAATTATCTTATTTAAAATAAATAAATATAAATGTGTTACTATATTAATATTTTTTTAAAAAATTAGTTACTATATTTAAAATAAATAGATAAATACTGATATTCTATTTATTTATTTTTACCTTATAAAATTTTATATTTTTTTAGACTAATATATATATATATATATATATATATGTATGTATAATATTATCGATTGTTGATTTTTGATCAATAATTAAAATTTATTATTTTACCTTTTATAATGAATTGCTCAAAGAAATAAAAACCCTAACTATTAAGCCTGAACGAGTGATTTTAATTAAAATTTTGATGATGATTAACAGAAGAAATAGTTTAGGGAAAAGAGAGCGAATAGGCTTTGTTAAAAACCCTAACTATTAACCCTAACTATTATTTTTTTAATAATTCGGACGATATTTCGGATTTCGGAGGATACAACAGTTTCCATGTGAAAATGGTTTGGAAATGTCAAATAAAGCCGTTGATAATTTTTTTATTGTTTTCTTCTGAGTAAGTCTTGTTAAGAATTATTATCGAAATCCCTTTACAATATATAAGGTACAAAAATATCAAGTTGGCATGGTTTTACTTCCCCTAGCCATCATTGAATGTGAGATTAAAACTTTCAAATCGAAATACAAAATATGTCACTAAAAAACCCAACCACGTAGGTCCCTCACATTGGGCATGCATTAGACTTGACAGCTACACAAATTGAAAAAACAAGTAAAAGAAAGAAGAAAAAGTTGACCACCTCCCTCCCACTTTTTAATGGGATCTTTTCTTCTTGCTCATGCTCATTTTCTTCCTCTTCTTCCAAGATTAGTTGTAAAGCTGAGCCCACCACTGATCTCACACACCCATTTTAACTACGTTCTTACATCAAGCTTCTCACTTCTCAGTTCTCACCCCTTATATTTTTTCTTTATCACCCAAAACCTGCGTTGCACGTGCTGTGGCGCGTAAAGAGGAAGGTTGCTGCTAAGACCAAGGAAAATAGCATATGGTTTGGGTCCC